GGTACAGACAGATATCAGGTACAGACAGAGGAATTTTGTGTTATTGTGGACTACCGTCTCCGTTGCTAACGTCACGTAAGGCTCATAACGTTGAGAGGTAGTTCTATGATTGTGCCAGAGGTGTTTCAGCTCGTTGCGGTTTCTTCCGGTAGGCTGATAGTCCCACATATTACACTGCCAGTACTCATGCCAGCAGTCATGTGAATCCGATGTTTTCTCAGACTGCCAATGCAGTTGAGGACCGGACGTAGTCAGAGTCTTAAGTTAAATATTTTAATATTTCTCCTTGTTGTTGTACTTATATTTGTACTTTTTTTACTTCTTCTGGTACTCATTAGGATGTCATAACTGTATGATATCTTTTGGAAGATCTCTGTCATTATCGTATGTTTCTGCACTATATGTTTCTTTTCTACCAATAAGCTATTCTGAATAAGCTGCCTCAAACAGTTTTATCAGACGGGCAGGAATATCATTTAACCATCAATAAGTTAGTCTGAATAAGCTGCCCCAAACAGCAAACTAGATTATTTTGATAATCTGCAGATTATCAGAATAATCTGCTTATCAGCAGATTATAAATAATCCACAATTATGTCAAACAAAGCCTAAATTTAAATTTCACAATCCAACTGTTTGTCCCTTCTTGAGAATTTTACTCCCATACCAAGTTTTGACATCTTACACATCAGATAGAGAACAAAGGCTTAAATTATCTAAGGTTAGCCAATGAAGGCTTTCCAATCATATACTCTTTAAGATCTCATTTGATAATGTAACTCATAACTACTAACAATGATCTTGAGGTCAAGGATTAGAAAACTAATCATTTAACTATCCAAATTAGGCTATGGTAGCAAAGTCACCACGACGAAATTAAGGGATCAATGCAAGTTTGTCATCATTCTCTCCACCAACTTTTCTAAGCATGTAAGCATCACTATATCCAACATCTTAGTAGGTTAAAATGTATGTGTGGATGTTTCATTGAACCATGATTGCAGGGTCTTATGACTAGCCTAAATTAATAGTTCTCTGAGGCGGTCAAGAGAGAGAATTAATCATGAGGGTGACGCCCAATGAAAAGCCTCAAACTAGAAACATACAATCCTTGCACAAGGAAAAAAAATTTAGGTAGTGCCTCATTTGAAACTTAGTTTAACTTCTAAATTTACTCTTTTGTTGGTTAGCAAAATTAGCAAAACCTAGGATCTCCTTTAGAGCTCACATACTGATCACTTAACTAAGAGTTTAGCAAATAAACCAATGACAATATCTTTTGGGCGACTCATTGTCCTACCAAGGCATAAAATCTATGTATTTCATTTGAGTTTTAATCGTAATATATAGCTACTCTAAAATAATTATCATTATCTTACTTCATTTTTCCCTAATTTTAATTGACAAAAGTACCATGTGTAGTAGGTGCAGTGCTTTTAAAGTCTAATCAAATTATACAAATTAAAGGCAATTTAAAAAATTAGCTTCATGAAAGTTGTAAATGCCATCGTAGTATTTCCTAGCAAATTATAATCGAGACTTGATTGAGAAGGAAACATCTAACCCTTTAGACAAGCACCACCCCATATGAACCTCCAAATACATGGCATGGAATGTTTTGGGAGAGAAATAAAAGGGAAAGCGTACCTAGTCCGATTCTCAAAGAGAAAATAAAGAGGACTGAATCCTCTCAATGTGAAGAGAGAGCGAGTTGTGAATTTATGGCAAAAAAATGAGTTAAGTGAGATGGAGAGGAAAAGAGAAAAAGGAAAAATAACAAGATATAAAATGATCTAGAAAGGAAGATGACTGAAAAACATCTGAGAAGAATATTAAAAAGAAAAATAATTTGAGAAATCAAAAAAAAATTAAGAGAAGTAATTTTCTTGTGAATGCAGTTTTCTGTGGAAAAAGTTGTCTTCAACTACAGTTTTTTGTACCAGAAAAAAGTCCGGTTTTCTGCATCTGCAAAAACAGTTTCTCCAAAAGAAGAAAATCGAATTACAGCTGCAGAAGATTGCAGTACAGACCTTTTATTAAAGTTGCCTGTAGAAAACTACTGCAGTCTATGCATTGGACAGTTTCAGCAACAGAAAAGAATAGTTAGATTAGGCTTCTGTTTTTAATTCAAAATCTAACACAATCAGGAATCCTGAGTGAATCTCGCATTCAGGGTAAAGTTTTGTTTTCTAGACTGACCATAGTATAAAAAATATGGTTCTGGCATGATCAAATCAGAAATTTCACTGATTCAATGCAGTGCTTAACTAGATTCGAACGCATTAAAGTACAGGTTGGCCAAAATGATAGGGGTCAGCTCTGCCAGTTAAGTCAACCACAGCTGAATGTGTGCAAACATCTATTCCAATAATTCCATATTGATTTCATTCATGATATAAATGTACTACAAGAAAAAAAAAATCATATTTTCACAATTTGGCACCTCAAAATTGCTCAAGCAAGCAACTCGATTCAGGTTGTAAGATAAATTAGCATATTTGAATCCACGGCTGAATAAATTGACAAAAGCAAACCAATTTTTTTTTTTTCTCTGTGAACATGCCCAATCTATTTTTTCCAAAAAAAAATTTTCGAATTATAAGATAAGCATGGTCATACCAATTGGGAGAAGTGCAAGCTTGCTGGCCTTCATATGGGAAAATAGATTGCATTTTATATCAGCATAATTTTGCATACTCTTGTGCCTATCTAGATGATCAGGCGTGAGGTTTAGAATCACTGCAACCTATGAACATTTTAATAGAATTAGTGAATAACACTTGAACATTTATGGTTTGAATAATGTAAACAGCACAACAGGGCCTACTAGATCACTTACAGAAGGACAAAAGTACTTGCTTGGTATTTCCATCTGATAGCTGCTAACCTCGACCACAGCAACCTGTTAAATATCGTTAATTGCAAGAATTAGCTCAAGCAGAACACAAAATCTCAGAAATGCCTTATTGTGTAGCTTTTTCTTATGTAATTGTGCCCAAAAGTACAAGGCAAATTGCAAATACCAATAATCAAATTTCAAAGAAGAACAAAAGCAACCCAACCTCAGCTTACACATAAATTATTTTGCAATGCTATTACATCATATAGAGAGGAGCAGCATCAATATAACAACTTGGTAGGACTCATTTGAACTTTATTCCAAATCCCAACTTTTCGATAAATAGACACTGGGACAAGTCTCAGGGAGCATCTTAGACTTTTAACTCATTTCAACCAAACTTCAGCGGACTCATTCCAACATCATAAGCATTTCAACAAAAGGATTTGCATCTGACCGAACTCAATATTAAATCAAGAGTCCAGAGGGATCAAAAACTCCCAGAGTTCACCATCACCAATAGCCTTAGCACAATTACTTGTTGCCAGATTAAACCTCAGCAATTCAAATTGAATTTGATATTCCATCAACATATTTTCATCATTCGGCATGAATCTCAAGATGTGACATGAATCTTAGAGCAATTTTTAATAAGCAACGTTCAAACTTCAATAAAAATTCATCCAAAACTCCAATTTCGACAAACTAACATTCAAACTGACCGGCTCGACGAGACAACCCCAATGACACCAAAGTAGGGTCAATTTGAGTCAAATCAAGCACAGATCGAGCCGTTAAATCATTTTTTGAAGCTTTTGATGCCCACTTGGAAGATCAAATGGATTCTAAAGCTAACAAGCTTACAATCAAATGAGTGTCCCGATGAGATAAATCCAACGTGCCCAAGAACATTCAATTCTGACACTATTAAGGCACTCAAATGTCCATTGAACGTCATTCGAACAAAGGGATATATTTGGGTTATCTGATAGAGTGATCTGAATTCTTTCATTATTTGTCAGGAGGCCTTTCCTAGAATCTATTAATATAGCCCTACCCACTTCATGAAAAAAAACTAAGACCTGAGCTTGGAGAATTGGGAGAAAAAGCTAAAGGCCAATGTTTCATACCAAAGATCCAGCAAAATTTTCCCGCTCCTGGACCGTCGGTCGCCCCCTGCTCGTTGCAACGAAGCCCCTTATGGAATCCCAACGTACGTTGCAGATTGATAAAGTATGTCGTTGAACAATGACCAATGCTACAAAACACCTTGCTGAGTAACAATGCAATGTGAAGAGTAGCGACCAAGGTTGTGCGTAAAGAAACAGCGCATAGTAGCGTCCAAGGTCTAGAAGCAGCGGAGCATTCTACGAAGCAACACATTGTTCTAAACACCACACAACAACGCACTTCAAAATAGGTATACCGACATTTCGACAACTGCAACTGTTGTCGACCATTGTGCAACCAATCCTGCATACAAACACTGTAATCGTGTGGCCTTTCTCGCATGTAGGACAATGGCATGTACATGTACTCATCAGGCTATAGTGGATTATTTCTTATTGTAGTAGGCACCGTGATTTTTTCCCTTTTGGATTCCCATGTAAGAAATTCTAATGTCTCTAATTGTCACTTTAATTGCCCGAGTGCGAGTTCGATTTTCGTGCAATGCTAAGAAGCTAAATAATTACTCTAACACTGTGGATTTTCGAGCATCCATTAGTTTGGCGTCTTCTGTGAGAACAGCAATCCCACCACCAAAGGACTTACAAAACTTGTTGAATGGTCACTCAACGTAATACTCGCAACAACGGAGTATCACGCGCCAGCACCTATCATTCCAGAGGACCGTCACGGAGCCAAGGATGTCAAGCCTCTACCGCTTCCCACCTTGGAAGCGGTTATCCAGCTAGCCAAAGGTCCTCAGGTCCATCTCTGAAGGATTGAGTGTGTAGGATTGAATCACAAAATGAGATCCTTCAACTCCTACTCATGGCTCGGCAGTTTATGCTCGCACAGCCACCCGACAAGAAATGCCCCACTTAAGCACACTCATAGCAAGCTCTCTCCCGACGATGGAGCCCTTCCTCTGCAGGATGTCGGCCTCTCAAATACTGTGAGTCACACTCATCCGTCCCACACAACTACACTCATCCGTCCCACACAACTAGATCGACTGATAACCCTTCGGTGCTCACGAGATACTTGGCCCAACCGCATCTCATTGTCCCTCCTAAAAAATTGATCTATGTTGTGCTATGGTATATGGTTTGACAAGAGTTCCCTCTGGGTGATAGGGATCATTTCTCTACCAGTCGCAAATTTCAAGACCCGTCACAATTGGTTGAGGCAGTCCTCCAACACCCGACCACAGTATGTTTCAAGCTCCCAAACATTAATTCCTATGAAGGGGTAGCTGACCCCTATCAGCGCGTTGACCACTATCGAACTATTATGCACATTCAGCGTACTCCTGATGCTTATCAAGTGTTCCCTATCACTCTCAAGAGTCAAGCTCGCACCTGGTTTTACTCCCTCCTAAGGGGCACTATCAACATCGTCAATAAGCTTGTCAAACTATTCGCGCAGTTCATAGCAAACAGAAGAATCACCGAAGATTTGTCCCATCTCTTAGGAATTCGCCAGAATGAGGGAGAATTACTCAAGGGCTACATATGCAGATTCTCCACTGAAGCTCGTCAGATTCCAGCAAAATCAAAAATCAATAAATCAAAATTAAATTTTTATAATTTAAAATAAATAAATAAATAAAAATAAGAAATAGCTAAGCATAACTTATAAAATAAAAAATATTTCATTTGATCTAGTCATTTTGATTATGCAATTTATATTGAGTCCAATATTTTTTCCATTACATTGAAATCATCAATCAATGATACTGCATTAAAACTTACTTTAAAATTCTTTTAATGTATCATATCAAATAACTCACAAGAAAATCATTTATGTGATCTTATCTTGATTATTTTCATATTTGAAAATGCACCTTCAACTATCATTATTGAAATAGGAAGTGTTAAGGTCAATCTAATTAATAATCAAGTATTTGTGACTGGACATAAAAAATTGGAATTCTAAAATACTCTAATTAAATCATTTTTGTATTCGTAAAATCTTTAGGATAAAAAATCATTAAAATTTTGACAAATATCATTAAATTTGAATGATCAATACCCATCTTAAAGATCCAACACAAAACAAACAATCAATAATCCTATAATGTATTCTTAAAATATATTATTCATCTCTTATAGTTTTGCATCTAAAAAAACTATAAAAATATCAACTATATAATGATATTTTATAGTGATAATGTATTTTTAATGACAAGAGTGACTTCGACTTTCAGATTAAAAAACATTTATATCTAGAATATGTATATCCCATTTTTTACAAAATAATTTCACTCACTGGAACAAGAAACGTTATCCAAATTTTCTTAAAATTTGAAGAAGCCATTGAATTGTAGTTGTTAAATGTAATGTATTCAAGATATCTTGTGGTTTTCTTTACAATATTTAACAAATGTCATTTATAATCTTCTAAAATTTCAATCATAAGATGCAAAATATAAATAACTAATAAAATCATTACATCATATTCTCTCTAAATTTCATTTCTTTGACATAATGAATTTCCTTAATAAGTTCTAAAATAACACAAGTGGCATATTAAAATTATATAATTTATGAATTTTAAAATATCATCAATAACGAGTAATATTTCATGAAGATCAAATTGAATAAAAATAATGCAGCTTACAATATGATAAACAACGATGTATTTATATCAGACTCAAGATGACTTGATCATCCATTTTATGAAGTCTCGTAATGCATTAACTCAATATCTGAAAAATATGAAAAAGGCAAACAATAAAATAGATTACCTCTATTTTGTCGATTCAATTTCAATGTCAATGATGATGTGTATAGCCGAAGATGATTGATGTTACGAGAGGTCGTCAACAAGGAAGAACGGCGTTCTAATTTGGATGCTTTAGCATGGAGAAAAAGCTCAGGCCAAGCGACGAGACTCAGGTTGCCCGACTTGAGTTTAATTAATTTAAAATGAATATTACTTAATATTTTATTTTCTTAATTTTTTACTATTAATATAAAAAATAAATTATATATTTTTATTTGATGAAATAATTACAATTTTTATGATACAACAACAGCAACAATGATCTTTATCACACTAAGTGAGGTCGGCAACATGAATCCTTTTTCTCCAGTGTCCTATTGAGCGTCATATTTTCATTTAGTTCTAACAAAGTAAAATTATTTTTATACAACATGCCTAGGTCTTTTAGGTCTACCCCTACCTTTCTTAACATAAGTTGAATCTAAAACATCTACTCTCCTAACCGGATCATCAGATGCTCGACATTTATGCTATCAAACCATCTAAGACGACTCTCTCTATAATTCAAGTTTTTTTTTCTGAACTATTTCTCTAGTCTTATCTACAAGAAGAATATCATTAGTAAAAAGCATACACAAAGTTACATCCTTCAATAAATGTCTAGTAATAGCATTCGCAACTAAAGCAAAAAGAAATGGGCTTGAAATTGATACCCTATATAATCCAACTGAAATTGAAAAATAATTGGTCAATCCACCTTCTGCTCGAACAAGTAGCTGCTCTGGTGTATATATCTTTAATGACTTGCATATGTTATATCAACACCTTTCTTTTTTAGAACTCTCCAAAAAACTTCTCTTGGAACTTTATCGTAATCGTTTCCTAAATCAATAAACAACATATGTAGATCCTCTTTACTCTCTCTAAATTTCTCCATCAAACCTCTCAATAAATGTATAGCTTCCATAGTAGACTTGCGCGGCGCGGCATAAATCCAAAGGCATAAATCCAAAATGATCACGGAGCCCTCTTCTTTCGACTTTACAAGTAAGTCTTCTTTTATCATTTATATAGGCGAACTTACATCTTCACCTTCCGATCCTTTCAAGTCATCTCCCATTTCTTTGGCTACTTGACCTTCTAAATTCATCTCCCCTTTACTCGACTCCTCG